TGCGGCTCATTCGACGAGACCCGGCCACACGTTTAAATTTGATGAGGCCGAATAGGTGACAATCGGGTGAGCCGAAAACTACTTGAGTCATGGGTCACGGGCTCCCAATTCATAAACAAGGGCGATGATTTGCCCAATCCATATTCAGTGCTGAGACTTAATTTGGCCAAAGCAAGTCGCTACTTGGGGAACGGGCAGGCAACCACCTCATCTTACGCCAACACTGGAGAGCCAGACGGACGAGCAATCATCATGCCCGAGCCTACCGCTCGTGGCGAATGGAAACAGGTCAGAGCCCGCGTGCCGTCCAACAAACTATCCACGCGCAAGAAGGCAATTTACGTTAATTGTCGGTGTACGTTTGCAGTAATATCTGTATCCTATAAATACTGCAAACTTCTGTGCATGCATTACCCGTTTCTGTTACTGTTTCCTACTCCTGCCTTTGATGATGAATCCGCGACAGATGTCGAAACGTCAGGCGAATGAACGTATTGTCCCAGCGATCGAGTCATCTTTTCTTTTGATTAATTTATTTCAACTTTTTTTTAATATGCTGTGTCCGGACGCAGTTGAGGAGGTTCTCACAAATTTTTATAACGTCGTAAAATCCCGCATATTTTTTCGCTTTTGAGGAAAATCGTGCTTTAACTGTCTTTTAACTAACATTTCTTCAGCCTCGATTCCAGGGCTGTTTTCCTTATCCCCTTCTTTTTGTTGAGAAAATCATTAAGTGGACCTAAACTGCCAAGTACATATAAGTTTCTTCCCGTGCTAGGATCCCACCACCGCCTCGACTGAGAAATCTCATCAAGAAACCGCGTCCAAGGTAACCGGTTGGACGAGCCTCCTGTCTCATCGAAGTGCCGGCAGAATGAGTCTTAAGACTGCAAGTCACTTCACCATGTCCGACTTTGATAACATCTTGGGAACATCAAGGACCACAGAGGACAAAGTATCAAGTAGGCAGACAAAGCATTCGTTAACTTCAGTGTTACATATTTCTTGAACAGACCTTAACTTTCACATGATTGCACAACAAAAATAACCGCCTCGTAGTCACTTGAGTTGCAGTATTGCACTCCATTGCGTCCATCTTTGAGCAGATTTTATTTTCGAACTAACCATCGGGCCAGTACATCGATGTGCTGTAGTCTTTCTATGCTCATTGCCGTCAGGCCGGTGTAGTTACAGGGTCGACTGCAGCACCTGATCCCGTAAAGGAGACCAGATACCTCTGTAGTCTTCAATTTGCCATAGATTTGCATGACCGTTTTGTACAGGGAGCCTTTTTCATTGGTTGATGTCAATTTCGCAGTCTGAAGCAAGGTCATCTGTGGCTTTCAAAACACTTTCGATATAAAAATGCTG